ATGGAAAAATTATAAATTTAATTATTAATATTTGTATAATAAAAAAATGATATACAAACTCACTTTTTAGTTTCATTTTATAGATGATGATTAGAGAAGATATGAGAGAGAGTGTTACATTTAATATCCTAATTAATTGTCACACCACTAAACTTAAAAAACGAGTCTAATTTTTGTTCTTAAATAATAATGCTCATATAAATTTTCATTAATTTGAATTTTTTGTGTTTTTTTTGTTTGCAGTAAAAAAGTCCATGCAAAAGGTGAAATACGACACAATGACAATTGTTATTCACCTTAAGGCTTGGTGGGCGGGTTATCTTTGTGTCTAATAGTTAAAAAATTAATTAATTTACATTCAACATTACTAATTAAAAATAGGGAAAGGTTGCACGTTACTAAAAATAGGGAAAGGTTGCACCTTACTAACATTTTCCAAATCTTAGCAAGTAACCTTGTGTATTAAATACAACCATTTTAAAAGATAGTAATGCTAGGTATCATGAAAAGTTTTTCATGAAAATGATCATGAAAAATTTGTGACCTTTAGATTACACTTAGAATAAAACACCACACATTAATCAAGGTAATCTAAGAGTCATAAATCTTTCATGATCATTTTCATGAAATTTTTTTCATGATTCCTAACATTTCTCTTTAAAAGATCAATCAAAGAAGATTAAACATAGCAGCACTCAATGAACATAATTTTTTGGACAAATTATATTAATGGTCTTTATAATTTGACACTTGTGTCAGTTTGATTCTTAACCTTTTAATTATGATACATTTGACTTTAAATTTTGAATCTTATTTTAAATAAGGACAATTGAAGATACCATTGTTTAATTTCAAGGACAAAGTCGTTAATTTGATAAAATATAAACTAATTTGACAAAAATAATTGTCAAAAAAATATTTTTAAATTTTTAAAAATTATATAAAACTGATAAATCTTTTACACATTTATTTATTTATTTTACCAAATTAATTTTTATTATGTATTTGGATGATGGGTGATTATTTTTATTTTCATTAAATTAGTTTTCATTTTTCCAAAAGTCAAATATGACGATAACTTTAATATCATTATTAAACCAATTCATTAAATCAAAAAATTCAAAACTAAAAACATTTCATATACTAATATATCGATTACATATTAAAAGCTTAACAATCACTCATTACATGATCATTATCCAAACACATAATAAAAATTAATTTAGTAAAATAAATAAATAAATAAATAAATAATTTATCAATTTTATATAATTTTATCTTTGATGAGTAGAAATGATTTTTAAAAAATTCAATTTTTTTTTTTACATTTATTTATGTCAAATTAATTTATATTATCTCAAATCAATGATTTTATCTTTAAAATTGAATAATAGTGTTCGATTTTTCTTATTTGAAACAAAATTTAAAATTTAAAATTAAATATATTACAATTAAAAAATTAAAAATTAAAATGATACGATTCTCAAATTATAAAAATTATTTTTTCAATATAAAAAAGTAAATGAAACATCACCGACAGACACACTTCGATAACGGAGAACCGAACACGAAATATATAGACGTGAGATAATATGTTGATAATTACAAATACAAATAATTTCCGAGTCCCATTCCCTCTCTACATTATATATATGTCCCACGCCAAGTATACCATTTAATTATAAATCTCGATTTCATCGAAAGAAACAAGCAATGCCAGAGGGCAACTCTAATCTGTCGGGCCCTCCCCATTCCAAAAATTATTCAATCCTTATCCAATTTAAAGTATTTTCAGCACATAAAAAATTACAATACACTAGTAAATTATTATTTCCCTTCTAATTATCGCATAAAAATTATCTTATCTTGTAAAATTTTCCACGTAGATAATATTCAATAATTTCCCCTCTCCATTAACATTGTGTCGTCTACGTAGTATTCTCTGCAAATATATATATATCTATATATAAATAATGTTTCCCACCCAATCATATAAATCAGAATCAGTGAACTATTCTTTTATCCTCAAAGGGAATGGTTTCCTCCCGTCCAATCACAGACTGAAGAGTATTGTTGGGCCTGTGAGAGTCTATCATGAATCCTGTTTCCATAATCAAAATCATTGAATGTGTAGAACTCGTCAAATACTATATGGCCGTAAAAAATCACGTTGATCAGATATCGATAGTTATGTGATCAAATCAATTTTGTATATATAAAAAAAAAATAGACGGTAAAAAATAAACAACTTACAAAAATTTGATTTAATCACATAACTATCGATATCCAATCAAAATGATTTTTTACAGACATATAATACTCGATGAGTTATACATATTAAACGATTTAAATTATCAAAACGGGACCCGTGGTAGACCCCCCACAGTCCCAACAGTACCTTCCAGTATCGGACGGGAGGAAAGCCATTCCCATCTTGATACTATCTAATAAAAGTGTGAACATATCTTAGAGCATCTTCAATGTTGAATAAAAAATTTCATTAATTTTGAGTAAAAAATTGATAAAAAGTTTCATTTGATACTATTTACTCTAACGTTGAATTAGAATTTTCATTAAATTTTTTCATATCCCTAGTTATCTAGGAAGACGTCTGGGCAGATGTTCTAGAGATCATTTGGATATGAATAAAAAATTTGATAGATGTCCATCACAATGGTAACAATTTAAATTTGATGAAAAACTCTTCATTTGATGAAATTTTTGATTTTCTCCTCATTTGATATGGGTTTTATGTCAACATTTTTTTTTTTTTGAAACCCAATATACAATAAGAAAACTCAGACAAGAACCTCTGGCTACATCCAGAGACAATAAAGAAACTAGAGCAGAAGGAGGATTGCCAACCCAGCTCACAGGAAGAGTTTGGCTATTTTATCAGATGTCCATTTGATGGCACGAAACAGGAGCGGGTTTTTGTTTGGACGAGGAGAGCGAACAACAAAGTAGCTCACTAGGTAGCTAACCCTGCTCCTGTCTGATGTCAACGTTGGAGTAAAAAAATTGGGCCTCTTTTATCAAATTCAAATTTAATGAAACCTGCGAGTAAAGATTGGAGATGCTCTTAAATTTTTCACTATATGATTAATTTAAAACATCATATAAACAATGTTACACTCCCAATCTACTTAATAATCTCTCTCTCCATTCTGAAGGGCTTCTCAAAATTTCTGCTTACACACTAGGAATTATTCAACTATCAATATTGTACAAAATTTATACAGCCCATTTTGCCTATTGAAGCAGTTCTCTTATAGACCACACAGAAGTACCAACAACCATAATGCAATTGTCGCCATCTCATTAGCAAGCAAGTTAATATATAATTTTTATCTTTCATAAGACAAAAAAAAAGTTTCCAGCTAGACACAGATTTAAAGGGGTAGGGGACCATGGAATGATGGCCAAGTAACCAAAATTTGGTGCCTGTTCATTTGAGTATTCTTCTTCCAGAATTGAGCTCCTTATTATATTCATCACATTCACCTATTATGGTTCCCCTTCCTTTCTTCTCTTGGAGCTCATTTTTAACCTTGATGATAAAAGCAAATTTGGGGACCCATAATCCAAATCCAACACCATTTACATCACAACCTATGTCCAATTTAGATAAGCTACACTGTATCACAAAGCATCAAATAGACTACTAGAACAAAGCATTCAGATACTATTATTTCAAACAATTTGAGGTTCTATGGTTTTTAACTAAGTAGTTTGAGATTTAATTTTATAAAATTATAAACGATTAAGCTATTATTAGGATCTTTGTAGAACTGTAACACTTAGTATTAAGGATTTCAAGTAACTACTACATTATTTCAAATTTATCAAGACAATTTTCGAATTCAAACTTAAAATCACATCTAAACGAATTTAAATTTGAACTATTTTAATTTTCTGAAGTATACTATAGTTCTGCTTGAAGTTTTCAACAACAAAACTTTTAGACTGTAAAAAGTTTTCAAGATATATTACGGTTCTGTTTTCCCTTATAAAAGGGTAATCTCTAAAGTTGTCCCATACAATTCATTAGAGTATCTTGAGGATGCTTAAGTGGAGCAATTAAGGGGTAAATGACACTTTTTAAGAAATGGGTTACTTTCTATCAACGTGGGAAAGATTTGAGTGGGTTGAATTGTGAAATTACTATCTAAAACCTTTCTCTTACCACATCTACTGTTGATGGATAATGACTCCTCATCCTATGCTCCCCAAAATACGAGCAGTGATAGAGATGTAAAAAGATCAGTTATTTATTTCAATTCTTTTTGTAGGTTTAAGAAAGTAGTTGATGCATAAACTGTTTCACCAAAAGGCAGTAAGGCAACAAAACCACCCTAAAGAAGAAAAAAATAGTGTAATTATAACACTCTTCTAAATTGTACCATTGATTGAAAAAAGACTGTAAAAATAACTAGACAGACATTATTTGCCTCCCACTAACCAAGCCAAGTAACCACTACCACAAATGTGTTTAGACAGACATCATTTCAATAATTCCTACTACATTGATTAATGATATTGTCATGTAGTATTACCGTTACAACTTCAACTTCTTTTTCAAGAGAAGAAAGGAGAAATAGGAAGAGAATCTGCATTCAATTGAAAAGACTCGGAATACAACATACACTTGGTAATGAAGCGACTCAACTCCATGCCAACCCATCTAATACTTACCCCCACAAAGAAAGCTCTCTTTCATCAACATGACAAATTGACCATCTCTAAACAGAAGGAAGCACTCATTTGTTCCTTTCATTTTGAATTGAGAGAGAATAACCACCTCAAATCAATATCAAATCATCAATATTATAGGAGGAGATATAGCAATGAGATAACCAATAAATTTGTGGAATTTTCTGTTTTTGTCCATCTGAGCTTTGGTTAGTTCTCAGATGATTTTCTCACTGTTATTCCCAAAACAGCAATGGATTCATCATCTCAGGATTTGTTCTAAGAAGGGGAGTAAAAAATTAAAGAACTTGACAACAAACTAGTTCTATTTTAGTAGTATTAACTCAAGAAATTAAAATTAAGAAACAGTGCCAACCATACAAACACAAAGCAAACCAACATGGAGTTCCAAAGTTGAACTCAAACAGCACAATTAAACAGCAAAGTAGAACATATTACAACAAACATAAAAAGAAAACTGAGATCGAAAAACCTGAAATACAATCAAGAGTTCTTCTTCCTACTGCAGCAGCCATTGGATTAGATTGCCCAAGATCTCTCTCCCTTTATTTTGCTTTCTTGGAAATTCTTGGTTTTTCAGAATGGAAAATGGATTAAGCCCTGAAAGAGAAGTTCAATGTAACAGTAGATTGAAGAAATTCCAGAGATGGGTATTGAAGAATTCACCTGGTAGAGAGAGAGAGAGAGAGAGAATTGGTTGGTTTTGAGCTCAATCAATGGCGAGAATCAGAGGAAGCAGAGGACGGCTTGTCGGAATAGCCATCGTGTTCCTCATCTTCACCCTGAATTCGTGCCGGAATGTGAAACCCTGAGAATCCGCCAACGGAGGCGAATCCAATGCCCTGCAATGAAGATGGATGGATGGGTAGAGACTGATAATAGTGGTTGTGGTGTTGATTATGATCTGCAGTGGCAATTGAAGAAGACGGGTCTATCCAAGCACGAATCGATTGGGTGTTACTGGACTGAAGGGGTCCCCTCTGAGAAAGAAACTGGTTGTTTTGGCCGAACAACGGCGGCGAGTTGAAGATAAATCCTCCTCCTCCGCCGCCAGTTCCGGCGTCTCCACCGCCATTCCACGCAACCATTCTCTGAAACCGGTTAATCTCGGCCGCCTGGTGGTGCTCTGACCAGGCGGAGGAAGGAGCATCGTAACCCAGTGCGGTGGTTCCAGAGAAAAGTGCTTGTTGTTCAGTCTGATGCTGCTGCTGAGACTGTTGGTGGTGGTGGAGAAGAATTGATGGGTCTTGAAAGGATTGAAGCGAGAGTCTCAGATCTTGGCTCTGATTACCGGTTCTCGATAGCAAATCAGGAGGAGCAGCAAAGTTCTGAAACTGCATAGCAGACGAATTGGGCTCTGCCGAAGCACCCATTGGGAAGAAAGACTTGATGGTGTCGGCAATGGCATCAGAGTCCATCGATGGCGGCAAGAAGCTCGAGTTGTTTTCGTTTTCATCGTTACCCATCTGCTGATCCTGAATCTCACATCTCGCAACAACAGTGTCTTCAGTACCCATCAAAGCATTTATCTCTCTCCTAGAAGAAGAAGAAGAAGACCCACCAAGTTGTTGTTGTTGTTGCTGCTGCCCCTGAGGCTCTTGATTTTGCCCAAAACTTGCATTTGTTGAAGTGGGTTTCCAAGCGGGAAGCTCAGCGAGTTCGTCAATGGCGTCTTTTGCTTTTTTGATGAGCCAATCGACCGCTTTGCTGGGTCGGTCGTAGCCGAGGCGGTCCTGAACGTCGTAGAACTGAATGGCGGTGTGGGCGGCGAGGCGAACACGGCGGTCTCGAGGCCCTTTGGCGGTGCAGACCTTGCTGTGCCTGTCTTTGCGACCAATGGACCTAACAATGTGCCCTCCTTGAACCTCCACGATCTCGCCGCCGCCGTGTCTCAGACCCATTCTTGTTTGGTGGTGGTGATGAGTGTCTCCCATTTTTTCTCCCAATCTCGCATGTTCGATGCTTTGCTCCGTCGATGATGGCGGCGGCGGCGGCGGCGGTGCTGGGTGCTGGGTATCTGATTGGTGTTGATTTTGGGGAGATTGACGATAGAGATGAAGATGATTGTGAGAATCCAGACTCAGAGACTTGTGCTTTTGTTGTTCCAGATTCTGATTGAGATGAGAGTGATTACTTGTTGTCACTAGTCTCTGTTTCCTTTGCTTTCCACTCCATTGTTAGTGGTTGCTGTTAATACTTGTTGTGGTGCTGATGATTCTGAATCTGCTGCCTCCACTGTGATGATACCTGAAGAAGAAACTGATGACTCTGCCTCTCCCAAGAGGCTATCCTATTCAATCCTCCTAATTCCATCCCCAAAATCTTGAAAACCAAAACTACAGATCCAAGAAAAGCTTATTTAGCCTAACCCATATCTATGCTCTTTTTTTTTTTTTTTTCTCTCTCTCTCTCTCTACTATCAGTTGCATCTAATAGGCCTCTCTCTGTACTAACAGACAGCTGGTAATAATAATATGGGGGAAATTTCTTGTAATTCTTGAACCAGAAAACCAGAATTCAACCAGGGTTCCAGTAAATTTTTTACAATTCTTTTGTGCGGTAAGAATTGTTTGGAATACTCAATAAGTGTGTTTTTTAAATTTTTATAAAATATAAATTGAATTTGAAATGATGTGATGTGATTTAAATAAAATAATAATTTTTTAATTTTTTTTTAGGGCAAATTACAAACACCCTCTCGAGGTATGGCGAAAATACAAATTCTCCCCTGAGGTTTGAGAAATTACAAATTGCCCCCTGGAGGTCAAATTTGCATAACAAATTAGGAGAGAATCTGTATGAAAATAAAAACCTCAGGGGGTAATTTGTTATGAAAATATAAAACTCAGGGGGCAGAATATAATTTCTCAAACCTCAGGAGAGAATCTGTATTTTCACCAAACCTCGAGGGGAGTGTTTGTAATTTGCCTTTTTTTTTTAAAGAGATATGAAACCTAAACTAAATTTTTATAGTATGAAATCATATATTAATATTTTTTGGGGGAGAGGGGGGGGGGGGAAAACTGAGCGAGAATGGAAAGAAAAAGCTAAGCCTCAGATTTTGATGTTTTTTTTTTTTTCTTTTTTCGTTACAAATAAATATTTACACAACAAAACGATGCCGTTTAGCTTTGTTTTTTTTTTTTTTTTTTTTTTTTGCAACGAAGCGTTGCTTTCGCCAAAAAAACTTTTTTTTTTTTTAATTTTTTTTT